TAGCAAAACTTGAAATATCAAAGATTTCTTTGAAAATCAATAGCTTTGTATTATATAACGAAACAAAGTTTTTCGTCTTTATTTTTTCGATGTCTTATATGTTATATATGTTTTATATTTGCTATTATTTTCTATAGACTATTATTCTTTAAAAGTCATCCAAAACACTATAATTGTTTTGGATTTTTATCATTGAAAACAACAATAAGATATTTTCATGGCTTTCCACATAAAAATGGATACTTTAGATAATAGTTTTTATGTCAATTTTTGTATATGACTTTCTCTTACTATCTTTTTATTTTTATTTCACTCAAAACACTCACAATTCACTCACTCACTCACATCAGACACAAACACACAATATTTATAAATTGATAATAAAATACACAACAATTTTTTACTAACAATAATATATAGTTGTAATAACTATAATAATATATGTACAATAGTTTATATATATATATATTTGATATTGACAAAACTATAAAACTTTAAATACCAATCAAATATTTATCGATTATTAAAAATTTATATTTTATGAAAATAGCGAAAATTCTAGTTTTTTCTACAATTTTAATTCCATTGCTTTTAAAAATGTATGTATATATCATTCAACAATAACTTTTATTATACTCAAGTTTGCCATAAAAATAAAGATATAAATAGTGTTTTAAATGTAGTAGAGAGAGAGAGAGAGAGAGAGAGAGAGAGAGAGAGAGAGAGAGAGAGAGAGAGAGAGAGAGAGAGAGATTTTAAAATAGGAAAATAAAAAAGTCGATTAAATTTTTATGAAACATTTAATTTATATTATAGTATATAAGATATGCAGTATTATATATCGCATAAGTAATATAATATTTATTTTCATTTTAGCTAATAAACGTGTATAAATATTATATAAATATTATATATAAAGTTAATATTAGCTATTTAAGCAAAGTTTTGTGTTGACCTACTGAGGGCACAGTTATGTCTTTATTAGGCGCTTCTCCTATATTTGATATTCTCTTGTCGTTTGCAAATAGAGTAAAGAAAAAATAGTCATCGATTTTGTCGACCAATCGATTGTTTTCAGCCGCAAAATAATGCATTTTCCGGCATTTCAGACCATTATTTGCAGTTTTTACCGATAAAATCCATGACTGACTAACATCTCACTAAAAAATTTCGTGATTTTTAAAGCAAACATTTGATAAAAAAATTTAGTATACATTTCATACACACATTTGTTAAAAATCAATCAATTTTTATTTACTTTATTTTTATTTATTTATTTTTTGTAGATAGTTGTAGATAGTCATCAGTATTTTTATAAATCAGTTTTCATTGTAAATCAGTTGTCAATTTGGATTAAATGGCAAACAAATTGTTAGGCCAATCAATATGTAATGAAAATAGATTGTTTAATATGAACTACAAAATCAATGTCTTTTTATTTGATTTATTAAATTATATTTGTTGTGTAATTTAATTGATTTATTTTAGTTTCTTTACCTAACGGCTAATCTATTTAATTGGATCTCTCTCTCTCTCTCTCTCTCTCTCTCTCTCTCTCTCTCTCTCTCTCTCTCTCTCTCTCTCTCTCTCTCTCTCTCTCTCTTTCTCTCATTCATACTCTCTCTCACTTTCACTGATTCGTATTCTACGCAAACATTTTAATATATAAATAGTTTTTTTGGTAACAGATTTTAATTTAGTCATTGATTTGTTGACTGAATTATCTTTCTCTGTGCTATTGTTTTCTAATGCACTCTACAAATGTGTTTTGCAAATAATTTAATTAAAATATTTTGAATAACTTCGATAAAAATGTGAGTTTATTTCGATATATATATAAATTATATATAAATATACTGTATTATTCTCGTAAACAAATTTTTCAATTAATTATTTTGTATAATAATTGCAATTCAAATAATAAATATAAATGATTTTTTCAATTGTCTCTAATTTAGCAATAAAATACATAGATTTTTAGGTATAATAATTACTGTATATATACTGTATATTGAATATATAATATAATAATTTAATTAAAAAAAATATTTTTTTATAAACAAAATATACAATATATCTTAATTATAAACTATATATAGTATATAATTAAGAGTTATTATTATTTTTATTATTAATAATAATTTATTAGTAATTTATTATAATACAAATACAAATGTAGTGATTAAACATTTATTTAGTTAAGTAAAGGTGTGGCAAAAAATTACTGGAAATTTAATCACTCAATACATGTGTGGAAAAACACTCAGAAAAATGTTGTTTTAGTAAATATTAAGAAAAAATAAATGTATTCACAACTCAAATATCATGCATTTATATATACAGTATATATATATATATGAACAGAATATTCTGTTTATGTAATATTTTGATCAATTTTTACAGTGAATTAACACAATATATGTTTGTTTTTATTTTATGTAAGCATTTGAACACCAAATTGACTTCCTATACATTGTTTACTAACAGGTTTTTTGTTACAATCATTCAAATTTTTATTCTATATATAGAAATAGTATAAATATAATACTAAATAATATTAAAGTGTTATTTACGAAAAAAATATACTATAATATAACACTAAAATAGTAATTTTAATAAAAATTAAATTATTAAATTAGATGTCTATAAAAATTATATTATATTGAGAGAATATACTGTATTCATCTTTGATCGATCTATATTTCCTCTAAAGTTATATCATTATAAATACTTATAACAAGTCTCCAAACTGTTAATAACTATCAATAACTCTGAGACTCTCAATCTTTACTATCAATAGACAAAATACGTGTTTATATTAGCCTATAAATACGTGTCTATTTCTATGCATCACTGGTTTGTTAGCTCTCAATGAGTTAAACATCAGTCCCTTATATCATTTACTTATTATTATTATTATTATTTGTACCTGGTGTATTAATAAAGTTATCAATTTGATGAATGTGTTTAATAAGCATTCAATTAATTCAAATATCTAAAATGAAAGCGTGATCGATGACCGACCGGTGGCCACCAATTATATCGACCATCCGATGGATCCTATCGTCGTCTTTCAATATAAATTTATATTAATATATATATATATATATATATTTGCATATATGTAAATATGCAAAATGCTATTGTTATATTTATAAATATATTTATATATAATTTATTTTATATACAGTACATAAGTACATGTAGTACTGTATGTTAATAATGCTATTTATAGACATTTGCTGCATAAGTACTGTACATATATGCCCACACATATATACACACAAATAGTTTGCTGTAATTTACTAATGAATGCCTAATATATAAATTAAATTTTCAATCATATAAATTATATACTCAATGATTTTTTGGGTTTAATTTTACWTTTAAAATGATAGCAACAAAAATTGATTTACTAGTTGTCTATAAAAAAAAAATTTGTTTGAATGAGAAACTCTTGAATACAAGTCATGCGTGTTGTCGATAATTAGCAGCGCCGGCAGCTAACTGTACCGATATCTCTGGTGGTATAGTTTATACCAGAGCCTGAATATAGCACTTGAATGTGAAATAGTTTTACTCTCTATCTCTTCAAATGACTCTCTCGTGAATAACACAACAGAATATTCTGAGTTTTCGAGTGTTTTTTCGAAAGAATTTTCTCTAATTCACTGTTAAAATCCATATAAACTGTATATTTGTATCTCATTTACATTAATGTTATGTACAGTTGTGTGCATTTTGTTTATTAATGTTTATTAGACATAAAAACGACATTAAAAATATTTTTACTATTAAAGTATATTGCATTATCTAAAAAAAAWTTTTAGTTAAAATTGCAAATACCAGTAATATGTTGATATAAAATCAAGTCATTGTTGTGTCGTATTGAAACTTTAATGATTTTATTTAAAAACTAAAATTTAAAAAAAAAGTTTTTTCTTATTATTGATAAACATCTATATATATATAAATATAGTATATATATGTATGTATTTATCTCTTGATTTCAATTAGATATTGTTTTGAAATAAAAAAAACTATTGATTTATATCAGTAAATATACTGTATGTTTGTAAATAGACCCGTATATATAGTAGATTATTATCAATAGTGAGTTTTTATTAGTGAACTCAAAAATATTTTCTTTACTGTCCATCAAATCTATTGAAGAGTTGAAAGTAAAATACAAATATATATATATTTATCTAATATGAAAAGTTCAACATTTTTGACATTGCGTTTACTATTATGAGAAAAGTAATATCTTGTGATAATACAGTTAATGTTTGTTTGTTTGTTGATTAATATTTTGGTGAATTACAGAACAATATAAAAACGAGTAATAATAATAATAATCAAAATAATAATAAATAATATATATAAGATGATGATAACTAATAATAAATAGGAGACAAAATTGAGTGTTTATACTATACTATACTTATTATTACTCTTTATGTATAAGTTTTTCTATCTATAGGAATGATAAGAATCTATTTTTATCGATATCTATAATAATAATAAAGCCATACGAGTGTACTGTATGTATGTGTGTATTGTGTTATACAATAAGTGAATCGATAATAATAATAAAAGTATTGATAAAATTTTTTGTTTTCATTGGTGACATTGAGTGGCATACAATATACAACTATATAACTAAACATATAATTTATATGCAGTTTATCTGATTTTATGCTAATGTTATGAACTTAATGGACTAATTGTGCGGATAAGTAATAGAGTGTATATATGTTTATATGTAAAGTGAAAATGTTGTTACAAAAACTGCTACAAAAATAATAYTGCTATTAGTGTTTTATAAACTAAACTATATATTTATATATAGTATACTTTATACCATTATTTTTAGTGGTTTGTCAAACTTTGACAACATCTATAAATTAATATATGAGAGATTTTAAAGCAAACTTTCTTTCTTTTTTTTGCAACAAATAATAAAAACAAAAATAAAATAAAATAATCAAAAGGAAAGGGCTTTTAGTGTGTTTTTGGTCGAAAAGATCGATAAATAGGAAAATTCTTAGAGAAGCTCTACTGAAGAGGAGAGAGAGAGAGAGAGAGAGAGAGAGAGAGAGAGAGAGAGAGTAAAGAGAGTTTTAGTGAGGAAAACGCATGACTACTCGTCTGCATCGCGCAAGAAGTGGTAAATAACAATATGATGAGCAAAATGGAGACTCGCAGTGATTGTCGAGAGCGAGTCCAAGCAAGTGGTTAATGAAAGCTCATTATTACTTATACTTTAGACAATGATGACACTATCTGTCCAAGAAGTGCACCGATAGATCTGAATGGACACAACTGGTCCGTCACTGATTGACTATTCAGTCGTTTGCTTATCTACTGTTGGCCCCACCGGTGGCGGTGTGTCTGAGTGTATATGTGTGTCAATTAGTGGTTGTAATAGTGGTGGCCGCCTGACGGGGCTGTAAGTGATGAACAAATACAAATTGATGACCTGTACTCTTGTCGTGTGTAATGTGATCTCATTGGTGGCTATGTTTATTGCCGCCTTCTGGGGCTTCACGTACCCCACCATAGAGGTCGATGGCTACGAGAGCGGGAAATCGGCAATTGTGGCCACTTTTATGTGCGTATTGTCATGTATTTGTTTGTGTGGACTCAACTATCAGAACTACTATCTACTTATAATCTATGGATGCCTTCATTTGCTAATAATGTTTAATCAAGTGTTTAATGTATTGCCGTTTAGTTGGATGCGAATACCCAACTATCCGGTATTGGGTAATGTCACCACTCAGGTGTATGTGATGGCTGTCCCGAAGCTCATTTTGGTGGTCTTTTCATTTGCATTGTCGTGCAAACTAAGACAGGATGATATACAACGAAGACTCAGCCGCTCAGACCCCCGGTGTCGGTGCGATAGCAACAGCCGACACACTGCCAGCAGACAAAGTATGCGAAGCTTTCACAATATGCCAATTGAAGGCCCGGCGGGTGGTTTGCCAGGTCTACCTCCACCGTTGCCGCCGCCAAATGCCATCATTCGGACGCCGCCATTATATCCGATGCATAGGCCGAGTCTTTCCTCACCACTTCCGCCGCAACTTCCACCAGTTTGTCGGACACCGCCACTGCACGGCCCGCCAATCAACGGACCAATGACGGGCCCGCCCGGCACACCTCCCTGGAGGACTGAACGCAAATGGAGTGCCACCACTGATAGGGTGGTCAGCCATAGTCCACATCCACGTGATTATGACCGCCACTACTATCGTGATGTCTATAATCCAAACTATTAGTAATTTTCAAATAATAATAATACTAACGAAAAACATCTAATAATTTGTTGATAACCACAACATAATCTCTAAATAATATAATATATTATGAAATGACTTTCGCCGTCCGTCTATTGTATTAACGAATCGGTTAATGCAAACAAGTATTGAATATTCAAAAATAAAACCAAACAAACAAATGAATTAACAAATAAAAGTATTGATTGCAACTATAAATATATATATCAATTGAATGAAAGATAATGTCTCAGTTGGACCTCAAAATAATTATTAATGAGTGGTCAGAAACAACTTCTCTCAGAAACACAAAGATAGAAAGAGAGAGAGAGAGAGAGATAAAGAAAAAAATCATCGACAACTACTACTACAACAACAACAACAACACCATTACCCATCATCAGACCAGATCATTGGTTTTGAAATAGTTTTAACATTATTACGGTATGTTATACATACAGACACACATATATACTGTATATATATATACACCAATTATAACTTCGGTACGGTATTTGAACTGTCAGTTAAACGAGGCTTTTAACGACAGACAGTGGTATATATTCTGTATTTATATATAAGCGAAAAGTTAAGAATAATAATAGAGTTGTGTTTAATCAATGAGAAAATGATTTGAAAAAAGAGTCAAAGTTTGCACTTTTTTTCTTCATTATCCACACAACTCTTCTAACATTAACCAAAAGGTCTGTCTTTTACACAGTGTTTGTGCCAATAGTGCCACCAATTTCTTCATCAGTAAATGTCTTCATCATTGTTCGTCTCCACAGAAGTTGTCGACAAACAACACAACAATTCATTAATGTATTGTAAGAGACGCACAACACATGTATTTTTTCGCTGACATGTATTGCAAATATAATTTATATAATAAAATGATAACAACTAACAAGTTATTTAATGACATGATTTTGGGGTAACACAGCATAACTATAAAACAAATTTTGAGTTTTTTGTTTTGTTAATAATTTTTTTTATTTTACAAATTTATTTTCTAACAAAATTACAAAACATAACATAAACAATGAGAAATATCTACGGAATTGTTTTTTTTAAAGCGTTGCGTGACTTATCTAATGAATGATAAACTATATATATATATAAAACAAAAATAGTTTACATTTTAGTAAAACAGTAGTTAAAACCTTTAATTAAGTCAAAACCTTTAATTAGTGAACGGAATTCTTAATTATATATAAATCTTTAATTTGTTTGTTTTGTGAAATTTCTTGTTAATTATAACTTCTTGTTATTTATAATATAATTATGTTTTGTTATGTTTTGTCTTGTTTTTCGCAGAATAATAATAATAATACAAATTATAATGACGTTGAAATGAAAATGCTATAATAATAATAATAATAATACATTTTGTTATATTACAGTTTAAAAGAGAAATACAAATTAAATTCTGTCCATTAAATTCTCAAATAATAATTATTATTATTATATAATTACCTCAAAATACATATTATTAATGTAATATATATATATATATATATATCTAAATGTATATTCAAATGGGTTAATCATATGGTAAATATAAGACAAAAAAATGGTGAACTTATTTACAGTTAATTTATAAGAATAATAATAATAAATTAAAAAAATTAAATCATTAATTATTTTTATGTCGATAATAATAATATTGCTCACAATTTTTTAATAGTTTAATATAGAGATAGTTATTAAAAATAAATAATATTGACTGAATTTTAATACCGTTGTTAAAAATAAGATAGTATTTAGTAATATAAATAAATATATATATATACATACAGTATAAATATCATATTAATAAATATATTATATATTAATTGTAAAGAGGGATATCATATATAATTTATTTCATACAACAATCTATTTCTCAGTTTGTTAAACAAGTAATTCGGGTCTTAACTCAAAGATATTGATAATAATAATAATAATATTAATAAATTTTTTTGTTACCGCCACATAATAGAAAAATATATCATTACTTAGTAGATTATATATATATACAGTATATATATATTGAATATATATACTATTATATTTGTGACAAATTTTTTTATATAAATAAATGAAACATTTAAGTTTAACACAACAAACTCATACCATACACACTCACACACACATACATACAACATATACACACAAAAACAAGAAAAATGCTATTAAATTGAAATCCGTTATTTGAAAAAATAATATAAGAAAGTAATCCAAAGAAATAGGAGGATTAAAACTAGTATTGATATATAAAAAATAAAATTTATATATATATATATATATTATTGTTGTTGTTATTATGATTATTGAGAAAGAGATTATTACAAACAAATAAACAAACAAAAAAATGTTTAATGTATTAGAGTCTTCAAACAAATATTTGAAATAATATAAAATACATTTATAGTAAAATATATATACAGTATATAAACTAAACTCAATTAATCAATAAACTGATTCCTACACCTTGTTTCATAAATAAATAAGTAAATTAATAAATAAATAAAAAAATTAAAAAATATGTAGAAATTTTTGTAATGTAAATTTTTTAATTGATTTTATGTATAAATTGATTATGTATTTTATTAGATGTATATATAAATTATATATATATATAAAGATTAGAATTTAATTAAAAAAAATTATTTGTTATATCAAAATTGTTTATTAAACAAATAATAACAAACTTTAATAAGTCTATAAAAATTATTTCTTTAATTTATAATATTTAATACATATTATATATTAAAATAATATTATCCATTATTTAGTGTAAATTTAGAAGAAAATACTATTTATTTTGCATACTCTTACAAAAAAGTTGTGAAATTCATTTGCATAATAGAGTGAAAGTATTTTAAATATAACAATTTTATTTGCATATTTTTGTTGAGTACCAAAAAATAAATAATTATAATATATAATATTGTGCATATATATCAATATATATATAAAATTGTATAAAACTAATTGAATATAAAATTATTTGAACTAAATTTTTTTAGTATAAATTTATTTTTAGTGACGACTTAACAAAATCATGGTTTCATCGATTGACAAAAATAAAACTAAATTATTGTTATCAGCCATTGATGTGGTTATTGTTGTCGTTGTGTTTCAAAAGGACTTTTTAAAATCACAAGAGTTTTCAACAAAAATTTATAAGAATTTTATCATTTCTTTCTTTGACTTCAACTTCTTTTACCATTACATTAGATCTTCAGTGGAAATGTCGTCTTTAAATAGATTTTTCTATTATTATTATTATTACAGTATTATTATACTGTATAACAGTTTTCCTCTTTTTTTCAATGATCATCAYATGGATAGTTGTTGTTATTATTATGTACAACACAAGAATATTCAGTATATTCTGTATATATATATATATATATATATAAATAATCTATATTTGGTTTATATCAACAATATTTTCTTTTTGATGGTAAACGAAAAAATAAAACCTAATTTTATACTAACTCTCTCAACCAAAATAAATATTAGATAAAAATATTATTTTATTTTATTTTTTTTCTGCCACTTCAAAAAAATATATATCTCTTTGAGTTACTCAATCAAAATCATCGTTTGATAAATTTTATTGTTATCGTATTATTGATATATATATATTATGTATATATACATACAATATATACTATATAAATCTATAAAGTTCATTTTGTAAGTCATATTAGTATATTTCTCAGTATTGGTGATAATAGTTTTTAAATCTAAAATGATATATGATTTTTATTTCACTTTTAATATTTAGTATATAAATAATGTTGTATATAAAAAAAATATTTATGGAAATTTGTGTTAGCAATCATAGAAAAAAAATTGAAAATGATTTTATATATATATATATATATATAAATGTTCCGTCTTTTAAAAAATTTAAGCTTAAATAAGTCGTGAAATAAGCAAATGAAATGTGAGAATTGATTTTTGAAAATTTTATTCACAATTTTTTCAATATTTTGTAACAAAAATAATAGACTTCATGATTGATAAAAATGACACAATTTTTTTGCAAATATTTATAAATAATATATAATAAAATTGGTAAAATAGTATATCCATTATTTATCAACATTTTAGGCGAACACACAAACGAAAATAAATATATTGTAAATATTTACAGTATATGATGAAAATAAAATATATACTAACTTTATATAATACATCGAAATAAAAACTAAAATTTTATAATAAATTTGTCCGACAAATTTGATGCAAATTTATGTCAAACATTTGAATTTTTAATATCCAATGGTTTTTTACCATTTGATAAATATGGTGATGATATTACTTTAGTTAGATTATATAATATAAAGATCTAAAATACAGTACACCATACAAAATATCACAGATATAATATAAGAAAATTTATATAATGATTATGTTAATAATAGGTGTATTTTTTCATTATAAATAACTTGAATCTTATCTAATGCCATATTTCTGAAACAGCTTTCTTATTATTTTTGTTGTTATTATTGTATAATATTATATAATATAAAGATATAACAGACAATAAATTAATGGCTTCTATGGTTTTTAGGAGATTTTTTCTAAACTTAAGATATATGTATATAATATGTATATATAATGTTTTATACGTGTATTGCATATAATTTTAGCAGATATGGATTTTATTATCATTAATTTTTTTTGGCCAATTTATTACATAACTTTATTTTATGACATTTTTTGTCTAATAATTTTCTTTATAGTATATAAAGTATTTTCAAAAACTTTTCTAACACAAAATCTTATTATCTTGTGTTCAAAATTTATAGTTATATTTATAAAATTAATTTATTATACATTGAATTAAAATTGGTTGATATTTTGTTGACTTAACTCCAACTTAAAGTTAATTTTTGTTGAAAAGTGCAATAAATCTATTGTTATTATTATACAGTTTGTTTAGTCTTTATTTTACCAAAAAATTTTTGTTTTTGAAAATTTTACGGAAAATTGACTAAACAATT